CCTTACATTACTAGCTGCTCCTTGCGCTTGATCAAAATTTCAAATAGTCGAGGTTTACAGGCCAAAGAAGAGGAAACTTGATTATGGATCTCGCCAAAACTGAAGCGGCTTGAAGTTTTACAGCTTACTGGTCGTTTTGGTAGTTCTCCTTCGAGGAAAGGTTCGCAAAGTTTTTTTTTTGTTAACACTATCGTTGCGAATTAAGTCCTCAAAGTAAAACAAGTATATAAACGGAGGAATTTCTTGCTGCAGTTATTTACTTTTTCTTTCTTCAGAAGATTGATGCTACGCTCTTTTCTTATCATGTGATTTCATTGGTGGTGCTTGCATCGTTTTTCCATTTTTTAAATCTGTGATTGCCTGATTGAGACGATAAACTTTACCGTTACGGAATAGAGAACAAGGAGAATTTGTCAACTGATTTGGAATTTTGCCGACAAGAAGTTAAATATCGGGGTCAATTTCCATTTGCACAGAATGGATCAAGGACGACCCAGTTACCGTTTGATGATTAGCGACATTTTCTGGTTATTTTTTCGGTTTTCTGTTTTTTTTTTTTTTCAATGCTGCTTAAGCTGCAATGCCTTACTTGCGCTCTGCAGGAATAATAAAAAGGTACCACATGGGATTATTCGACGTTATATATTGCGTACTGATTGTAAAGTCGAAAATTTCTTTTAGGAGAAAGGGTGGAGTGTTGCCGTTACTCAAGGTCCCGGAAATAATTGTTTTTATCAGACGTGGGGGAAGGCTTTTGCACAGCAGTTCCATAAACTTTGGATCGGAAATCCTTTAATAGATGGGGCAGAAAACTGCAATTAACCTGGAAATTGGGCATGTACACTTTTCAGGTGTCATAAAAGATTAGGGTAGCATAAATTTTCGTGTTCGAGGAAAGTTTCTGCCTAGACAGTAAACTTGTTTCTCCAGGCAGTGCGGAGAAATTGAGAGAATCTGAATGGTAGAGCGTAAGTTTTCATGTTCAAGGAAAATTTCTGCCTCGACAGTATACTTGTTTCTCCAGGCAGTGCGGAGAAGTTGAGAAGATTTGAATGGTAACTTCTTGCTTAAATGGGAATAACTGCAGAACAGAAGAGTCTGTTACGCCTTTCAGTATTAACGAACTAAAATTTATAAAAACGGAAAGTCGCGAATGTTCAAATATATATCAGTTTCGGACAGTTAACTTACGTGGAATTATCAACCGAGGGAAGTCTTTTCAAGATACTTGAAACCAGAAAGCAAGAACTGTTTTTGCTGTATCGTGAAGCGGATCAGTGACTTGAAAATTAATTCTAGCGTATAATGTTAGTTTACAGAACTGGAGTTGTCGTTTAATAAATGTGACTCTTCGGTGGTGCCGCTGATGTGCTCAAATCTTCCAGTTACCAGGTGGCAGATTTTGATGATTCTTATAAATGGATCCGCAGTTCCATCCCCTTGTTTTTGATTGATTTTTTCTGTGTATCGGGAACCAAATGATTTGACTGTAAATCGTTGAATGAAGTCTTGCTGTTAGGTGTGTATATCGATTTGGAGATGACGTTGTAGGTAAGCATAATGGACGTATCTGACGAGATTGATTATAATGGACCTACGAGGCTGAATAAGCGGAAATTGGTCGCTGTTTTTATACTCCTAGTTGCCAATCTTTTGAATTATATGGATAGGTTTGTTATTGCAATAGTTCAGGATCACTGAAGATTTTAACGGCAAGCTCTGAAAATCAATTCAAACATATTGCTCCTAATGTTTTGGTTTTGTTTAAAGAATTTTTAACAAAGAAAGACGGACGGTTCAAAGTTTTTGCAGGTTTACTATCGCTGGAGTTTTGACTGAATTACAAGCATACTTTCAAATTGTTGGAGATGACTCAAGCGCAGGTTTACTTCAGGTAGACAATATACTTCGCTTCTGAGGGTTTTTTGTAAAAGCGATGAACCAAGGTGAATTGTACGATTAGGACTGACTTTTGATATGTTTTACTCTTAAATGTTTAAAGTTTAGACCATATTTATTGTATTCTATATGCTGTTTTCTCCACTGTTTGGCTACTTGGGTGATCGGTACAACCGAAAGATCATATTAAGCTCTGGAATCTCTTTTTGGATTATGGCAGTTTTCGTTTCTACTTTACTGTCGCGCTCGGTAAGCAAATTTTCTACGTTGCTCTGAGACTTTTACATTTGAAGTTGACAGTCTTTACCTGTTCTTTCACTATTAAGGATAAGTTTATACTTTAATGACTGCAGTTTAAAACTGGTTGATTTCAAGACACTTAAGAGGCGTTCTATGGGAGTATGCTTGCTATCTTTTTTTCCAGATATTAAGCTGTAGTAATTGTCTAGTTCTCAGATTTCCATATTTGATTGCATGCTGTTTAGCAGTTTTATCTATTTATGTTCTTTCGCGGGATTGTTGGTATTGGAGAAGCATCCTATTCAACTGTAGCTCCTAGCATTATAGCAGACTTGTTCAGAGGTTCATCTAGGAGCGTCGCTCTTTCCGTATTCTATTTTGCTATCCCGTTGGGAAGGTACGTTTAGAATTAAGTTTTTTTTAACTTGTTTGATTAATGCTATGGTGTAGTAAAGGCTATAAAATTTTGTTACATTTGTAAAGCTAAATAAATATATAATATCAGTTTGAAGCATATCAGCATAAAAAGCAAATAATAGTAATATGAATTTCCTTTTTTTTCAGTGGCCTTGGGTTTGTTCTTGGTTCTAACGTTTCTTTATGGTTTGGAGCTTGGCAGTGGGGTGTTCGCTTAACATCGGTATTGGGTGTAGTTTGTCTTGCGCTAATTATTTTTGTTTTGGAAGAACCGGCACGCGGCGAAGCTGACCACGCCCATGTTGAAACTAGCACCTTTTTGGGGGACATAGTTTATCTTTCAAAAATGTTTGTTTTTTTTCTTTTTGTGAGACCTTGTTTTGGTTCTTAACATTTATTTTAATTAATATACCTTTCAAAACTTTATGCTGTATAATTTTTTAATTTATGCTTCACAAGTAATTCAAAGGCAGAAGTGTTTTTTATTTTAGCAAAACTTATGTTTTTTCAACTATTGGGTTTACATCTATTGTCTTTCTTGTGGGAGCTCTTTCGTGGTGGACCCCTGCGCTGATGGAACATGCCTGGTCTTTACGCCATGGTACTAGTGAAGTTGAGCCTGGCGCTAAGGCTCAGTGAGTTATTCCTCTGCAATTTTAAATTGGTTTTAGTTTTTACTGAGTCATTTACATTTTAGGATTTCGTCAACATTTGGTATGATTACTTGCCTTGCTGGTTTCATCGGGGTTGTGTGCGGTTCAACGTTAGCGCAAGTAAGTTCTTTCATTTGATAGTGTGACAACTGTTGAATTTTACTTTCTTTTATTACATCTAGGTCTTTGTTTTGAAGATGTGGAAAAACGGATATAGATTGATCGCGAAAAGCAGCAAAGCTGACCCTTATGTTTGCTCCCTAGGTGCGTTTCTGGCAGTGCCGTTTATATTCTCTGCAATTATTATGTCGTCTAATTACGTGTTTGGAACATGGGTAAATTATTTCATTACAATTTGTACTTCTCCATTATTTTTTGGCTTATTGATCGTGAAATAGTTCGTATTTTAGGTGCTTATTTTTTTTGGTGTTACCTGCTGTTGTCTCAACTGGGCAGTTAATATGGATATGTTGATGGTATTAATTTGAGAAATGTGTTCTTTTTCGTTGACAGTTGAGTACTCTTTCCTTAGTCGTTGAATTATGCAGAGTCGTTTAACACATGTTTTTTCGTTCCAGTACATAGTTGTTCCTCAGTGTCGGTCCACAGCGACTGCTGTACAAACTTTGATTTCACATTTATTTGGTGATGCAACTTCTCCTTATTTGGTTGGATTAATCTCGGATTCTATAAGAGGTCCTACTTTTACACTTATTTACCTTTGAAAGGTAACGAAATTATAAATTTTAAACACAAGTCCTCTTATGATTGTTTTTAAACTGTTTTATAACAATTAGAATTATGACTTCAAATTATTTAATGAATTATGTCGCTACTTTTTTCTAATTCTCTTCGTGCTTTTTTGGATTCATGGTTAAGTTCAAAATAACCTATATCTTTAATTCTGAAAAAGTCTCGAATATAATAGAAACAACCAAATTTTTTAAATTTTACATTCATTTTTTCATAAGAGTACGTCACGAAAGTTAGCAACGTCTGTTCTCAAAAAGATACTAAAGTGGTTTTACCAGCAGCACTGAAGGAGTTGCCGGTCAATTGTTTAGGGAACGTCTTATTATTACGACTTAAGTTTTTTCTGGAAGGGTTCTAAGCTTTAGGCTGTTGCAGCTTTTCTTAAAACTTAGAGATAACCACTGCCGCGGAGAAACATTTTGATTAGTCTTTCTTTCGCTAGTTTCTTGAGTCTTAAAATCATTTTAATTTGCTTATTCACAACGATGCTACCCAATTAATAGCCTTGAGGTTCTGAAAGGTTAGTCTGAATGAGGTCTTTGATCTAGGGCAAAAACCAGATATGAGACAATCGTTAGTAATGACCCTATTTCAACAATATCTAAAAATGAACTTTTAATTGTTTGTATTCCAATAATATCTTCCTTAATTAGGGTAGAGAGCCATTCAGAAGTAAATTTAGCGGAGCAATTTGGTGTGAAAAGAGCAATAATCGTCAGAAAAAGTTAATTCATCGCAGAATAACGACGTGTGGGTGTGGTGTAAAAGAATGCTTATTACACTCGACCTTGAATTAACACTTTCGAATAAAGCACTTCATCCGTCCGTACCTCATTTTTTAAATAAATAGTATACCTCAACACTAATAGAATCTGATATTTTTCAGGTAAGGATTTTTCTGTAGTAGGCAGGTTCTTCGCGCTGCAAGACGCGCTGTATTTCCCAGTGTTTTTGTTGGTGGCCGCCGGAGGTTTCTACCTTACTGCAAGCTTTACTGTTGAAGAAGATAAGCGGGCCGCATTTGAGGCAATGCATGGTAAATTTCCCTAGTGTATTGAAGTAACTAGAGTATGTCGACCTTTTGATAAATCTGGCTTTGTGAACTTGAGTTGCTGTTATCTCTCCATTTTAAAGTTGATCTTATAGCTTCGGATTTCGAACCTATAATAATAGTTGCGGATGAATCCGGCACATCACAAGTACTAGATGGAGTTGAACAGAGCTTGTTATCTACCTCTTAAATTCGGATGGAATCAGGACGTACCTCCGCTTCAATTTTCTAAAGACTTCTCATGAGCTCATCTGTGCAATCTCTCCGTTTAACTTATGACCGCGGCAGAGTCGGAAATTATTTGCAACCTACACTGTGCTCCTGTGGAGGACACCAACCTCCCCATTATTACAGTACTGGATGGCAGGCCTGTCAGTATGTGGAACCAGTTCGTAATAAACGCCATTTTCGTATATACAACCCTTCACTCTATATTTTATTGGTTTAATTAAGAACAAATAGCAGTTCAGATTGCCGCTGATACGGGAGTTCCGCAAGGATTCTTAAACAACTACGGCAGGTTCTCTTGCCAGTTAGGAAGGTATTATGCCTCAAAAATAAAAACCTAAAATTGAACCCTGACCTTGTAAAACTTGAAACCACCGTACCAAAATATACGTGATGCAAACATTGAATAAAACGATGGCCGTGAAGAGTTGAGAAGGAAATCAATTATGGTACACCATTAGCAACCGAAGCATCGGAGACGCAACGGTTATCAAGCAAAAAGTAACAGCGGTAAGAGTTCGGTCATCCACTAAGCGTTTGAGGAATGCTTGGGTAAAGATGAACAATAATAAGAAATACATTAAGCTGAAGCAAGGAAAGAGTGTTTCACATCTTACCACTCAAAAACAACAATATAAAAAGTGACATTTTGCCTACTTTCATTTACTAGCAATACTTGTCACTTTTCGTCTTAGCACGCCTTTCCAGTAGTAATTCGTGCAGGTTACCCTCAACTTGCGCTCTTCGGACGGCCGCCTTGTCGTTTAAATCCACCGTTATATTTTTGCCTTTTAAAGACACCTTAGAATGCTGGTACATCTTTCTAAAAAAAAAAAAAAAAAGACATTTAATAAAACCAGAGAAGACAAAAAGAATTAAGTGCCCTATCTACATATGGAAGACGCAATTTCCTAAAGCTGACAATTCTAAGAAATCGTGAAGCTTTTGCTAGTGGAGAGATGTAGCTCCCCGCCTGTGAAAAAAAAGTGGGTCCATCCTAAAAAAAAGTTACTGACACGTAGGCCATCTCGCATTTTTTTGCTGACTTTTTATCTTCCTCTGAACGCCAATCTACGGGTCCCTCTTGCACGGCATTGGTTCTAAGCTAAAAAATATTTAATAATGAAATTTAAAAATTTAAGAGTTACGATTTCAAAAGAATGTCCGCCAGATGTGGAAAAGGTTTGGTAACTGACATTAATGACTTCATCCTCCTCAACTTTCTTACTAACTGCATGGACATAACCATCTTTATCAAGCTTCAGACTCAAAAATAGGTTGCTTGACAACGTCTGAATGGCAGATTTCCCCTTAAATCAATGGTTTAATGAAAAATAACGACAGACAAAAAAGGCACTACGTCATATACTACCAACGTCTTGGAAAACCACAAAGAGACGTTCTCGTGTTCCAATTGCATCCGCGGTGGCAATCAAACTGCCCTCTGCATCAACCCCCACGTATTTCCCGTAGCCTGTTTTGAGACTAATATTGGGATCATCGGGAGTTTTTATAAGCGTGAGAATCTAAAATGTATGAATAAAATGGTTAGTACAGTGAATTATAAGAAAGATCAATCAATTTCAGCGTAAATGAGTGAGCAGTTAAACAAATGAAATGTTAACTTAATTTGGTCGTGATAATGACCTCGTCAAGGCAATATTTGAGCAAGTTTAAAATGAAAAGATTTTTACCAAACACCTCTACCATACTTTCAATAAGACCAATGAATGGAAGCGAAAAAATGAGATTTTTTAAGCAGTCATGACCCCTAAAAAAATTTAGAAAGTCTAACTTCCTCTGGGTTAGGCTCTTCGCCAGGTGCGTGTGGGCCGCCTACTGTAAAACGTCCATTATCCATCGCTGCTAGATAGCATCCTGAACCACTTCCACATTCAAAAGCGATATTAATGCCACCTTTCAATTCCGTTTCATCACATATGCGTCTCCAGCCCCCTAAACCAAACAAAACAAGTAAATAGGAATTCGACGACAAAAAGGCAGTAATAAAACTTTTAAAAATTTCAATTGATACTATTAATGTCGTGAAAATTACAACACACCATGTTTTTCTGCGTCTGCATCAGACTTTTTGCTAATGTCTTCATGTTTCCGTTTCTTCTTTTTTGTTTTGTCAGCTTTGAATCTAAAATCAAATATGACTACAAATCAAGACTGCTCATAGAAGATTATTGATCAAAATAAGCAGTAAAGAACACAGATCTCGTAATGTCAGGTTAATTCTGCTCGTAAATTACCGTTACAATGACTTTATGGAAATACAGAAAAGGAGAGGGTAACTATAAATATATTAAGAACTGCAAAACTATTTACTTCAAGAGTTGTAAGTCTACAAGAAGTTAACAGTTCTGCTTTGAACAAATGTATTCCAAAAAAAAGCATAAAAGAAGTCTCCAAAAAATAACATTTTTCTTCTAAAGACTAAATAGCAGCATACAGTGACTTGTTTCCTTTCAGCTTTAATGGTCCTCCACGAACCATTTTGTAATCATTACTCGAAGGCATGCTTCCAAATCAAAAACACTGAAATATTGAATAAATAAAGTGCAGCTTCAAGTAAATCTGCATGCATAAATATTTTCAAAATTGAAACAACTGACGCTGTAACAGTTGCAACAGAATATAGCAAAATTACCAAAAGAGACTGAATCAAACATTCTGAAGCGTGAAGTTACAAAAATAACTATGGTCTCAAAGTTTCTTATCTAAATACCTCTAAATCCTAGTCGTTTCAGATGCCAAGTGAAACGCTCGGCAGCTGCCATTCCTTCTCAATTTTTACAGGCCTAAAAGCTGTAAAGACTGTACTTGAGTTATACGTTTTGAATTTTTAAATTTTTATTCCAATTGTTTTAAGCTCTTCATTTCCTGTCTCCTAGACCCTCCAGCAATTAATGTTAAATCAATGTGAAAAATTAAAAAGAAGAATGGGACGTTGTTCTTACTTTCCCAGCAACTGATATCTTATTTAATGTTATTCTGAAGTAGAGAACAGAACATCACTGGAAACCTGACTTCTAATATTTTCCGTTGCTCAAGCAACTGATGGAGCAACAAAATTTATCTCCGGTTCTGGCCTCTGATACTCACTAACAGGAAAAGTTACCAAAGTTACCTTACATTACACAACGAACTACAAATTACAAAATTACTACATTACAAACATTGTAAAGAGAATGAGAGCAGTTCCACGCTAGCCAAAGAACATTTGTCATATGGTGATTTGAAGTTAGCAGATTGGCAGCATACTGGCTTTCTGAAGAGATGGCAAATGACCAACAGCTGGCAACCTTTTAAAACTTCGAAATGGCGAACACAGTCTGATTGACCGTTTGCAATATATACAGGCGCCGTCAA